TGACAAGGGCTCGGTTGCTTGTATGGGCACCACAGTGGCCTTCGTGCACTTCTTCGAGCACGCGCCTGGTCTGACTCGGCCCTAGGCATTTCACCAAAGGGGCCCCAAACGTTCTCTTTTACAGGTTGTGATTTATGATGTTGTACCTGGCCGACTGCATTCGAAGCTTTTTGGCTTCCTTTTTGTCTTGTGGGAGTATTCCCTCCTGCAAATATGTCATGATGCGGTTGCGCCAGTCCCAACTCAAATTTATGGAATATGCATCGAGTTGGTCTATTGATGAGTGGAGGAGGGTGACCACGTTTTCCTTACTGATATTTTTGGTGGCAGCTGCTAGTTTGGTGAGGTCGTCTGCCTCGATGTTTTGAGCTCGAGGTATCTGGTCGAGTTGACATTCATCGAATTCCGGCAGTAGTTTGTGAATTTATGCCTGATATTTTTGTAGACTTTGTTTTTTGACTTGGAAAGTCCCTGTGACTTGGTTGACGACGAGTTGTGAGTCGCATCTGAGGATGACTCGTCGTGCTCCATACTTGAGAGCTAGCTTTAACCCTGCAATTACAGCCTCATACTCAGTCTCATTGTTAGTCATACCAAGGCGTCACATGGACTGGCGGATAACTTCCCATGTTGGGACCTAAAGTACAAGTCCCAATCCCGATCTTGACGCATTGGATGCACCATCGGTGTAAAAAACCCAGAGGTTGGGTTGCCCAGTGGAGGCACGAGAAGCTTCCTACTCGACCTCGGCCATTATTTTGGCACTGAAATCGGCGACGAAGTCAGTGAGTACCTGCGATTTTATCGTTGTTCGCGGCTGATATGTTATATCATTCTCGCTTAGTTCGATGGCCCATTTGTTCAGTCTTCCCGACAATTTAGGTTTATGTAGGATACTCCATAGAGGGAAGGTCGTCACCACCGATATGGGGTGGCACTGAAAATAGGGTCTAAGCTTTTGTAAAGCTATAACCAGTGATAAGGCCAACTTCTCAAGGTGGGGGTACCTCATTTCGGCATCGACCAGGGTTTTGCTAATATAATAAATTGCGTACCTTTATTCTCGCAGACCAGCACCACGCTCATCGCGACTTCTAAGACGGCCAAATACATTAGGAGGAGCTCATCGGGCTCTGCTTTGGCGAGTAGTGGGGGCGAGGACAAAAACACCTTTAGTTCTCTCAAGGCATCGACGCATTCTGAATTCCACTGGAGCCCGTTATCATTTTTCAGCACGTCGAAGAATTTGTGGCATCTGACGGATGACCGCGAGTGGGATTTTACTTGGTTGTTGTTGTTGTTGTTTTCGGATGACCGCGAGATAAATCTTGACAGAGCGGTTATGCGGCCAGTCAATTTTTGCAACTGTTTCTTGCTGGTCAGCACCTCAAATATCCCTTCAATGGCTTTGATCTGATCTGGGTTGACCTCGATGCCTTTTTGTGATACCAAGAAACCAAGAAATTTGCCCGAGGTTATGCCGAAGGCGCATTTTTTGGGGTTTAGCTTCATGCCGTACCACCTTAGTATACCGAAAGGCTTCCTTCAAGTGATCGATGTGGTCATATTTTCTTTTCGATTTAACCAGCATGTCGTCGATGTTGACTTTCATTGTTTTACCGAGTTGATCTTTGAACATCGTGGTGACCAACCTTTGGTACGTTGCCCCTGCGTTTTTTAATCCAAATGGCATGACCCTGTAGCAATATGTTCCCTGGTGAGTGATGAACGTAGTTTTTTCTTGGTCCTCTTCCTCCATGAGGATTTGGTTGCAGCCTGAGTTAGCGTCCAAGAAGCTTAGCAACTCGTTTCTTGCTATGGCGTTGATGAGCTGGTCGATGTGCGGCAATGGGAAGGAGTCTTTCGGGCATGCCTTCTTTAGGTCTGTGAAATCTATGCACATTCGCCACTTTTCGTTTTTCTTTTTTACCATGACCATATTAGCGACCCATTGGGGATATTTTGAGTCTTGGATGGAACCGTTGGCAAGGAGCTTCTCCACTTCGTCACTTACGGCCTCGTTGATTGTGGCATTGAATTTCCTTCTTATTTGTCTTACTGGCGGATAAAGTGGGTTGACGTTTAACTTGTGTATGGCCACGTCTTTCGAGATGCCCAGCATATTTGCATGGGAGAAAGAAAACAGATCGGCGTTTATGTCCGATGTAGGCCTTTTTGCTGTTGTCGTTGTTGTTTAGTTTGACGGGATCAACATCCTCTACCGTTGACTCGGCTACTTCCACAATGCCACGGTCCTTGATGACATCTGTTTGTAGGTTAAACCCGATACCTGACTGCGGTAATTGATATTACTCTGCGTCTGCTCCCTTTATCTGTTGGGTGTACGTGCAATCATGGGCGATGCGATAGCATTCTTGGGCGGTGCGTTGTTCGCCCCTGATACTGAATATTTCCCATAGAGTAGGGAACTTGATTACCTGGTAGAGGCTCGACGGAATGGCCCTCATGGCGTGTATGCATGGCCGCCCTATGATGGCATTATAAGTTGTGTCTTGGTTCATGACATGGAATGTTATTTCCAAGGTGAGGCCCCTGGCCAGAACGGGTAGCGTTATCTCCCCGTAGGTTCGCTCAATTGCCATGTTAAAACCTGTTAGTGTTATGCAGCGCGACATTATCTTGTCCTCGAGTGTCATTTGTGCGAGGACTCGAGCATTGGCGTATCTATGTTAGAATATATGGGCCACATGCACCCATCCTCTTTCCAAGTAAAAGCAAATTTTATGTACAAATTTTCAATGGTTTAGCCATATAGAGTAAGTAGATGGCACCCATGCTCAAATTTTAGCATTAGTGCCTCCGATCGAGACCTTTTGGACACATATTAATATAATAATATGTATTTAATTTGTACTTCGTAGCTCTTTTTTTTTTTGGTTTAGTTCTTTTTTATCCTTCTTATCATTCTTTCTTTTTTCATCTATTTCTCCAAATTTTCATGGTAAACAACAACTTAAGGAGTCAGAGATTAAACTACTTATTACTTTCATTGAGGTTTGTCTTATCTTAAACCACTATAAATTGGTTTTACTATAAATAATTTATGTGACAATAAAATCTAAGTGCATGATACGATTTGCTTAAATATTTTTATCCCAAATTATTGTTTAAATATATTTGAATTTCAATCAAATTATTGACACTCTTTTTCAAATTTTTAGGATAAAATATACTTTTCTTTTTTTGAATAAGCAAGTTACATAAAAAGAACTCATCATATGTTCTAAGAGCTTTTTGATATTTTAATTCTTCTTTTAGCTATAAAATTTGCAAAGCTTCAATTTTTACAGTATTAAGTTTTCAATAGTATTCTACTTTCCCTTTTTATTTTGAATTTTATGGTAAATCCTGAACAAGGTTTAAGATAATTGCATGATTGTCAAATTATAATTGATATATTAATGAAAAACACATATAGATTAGCAAGATTATAATTTATCTCGTTGAATAATGTGCAAAATTATTAATGTCATAAAACACTCATTAAATATACACCACTTGATATTATAACAAGTATTGTGGTGCACCCATGGTCTTAAAATCCTGGATCCGCCTATGGATTCGAGGGTAGATGATACATGCGCTACTTCCGCCATCTACCATTATTCTTCTTAGTCTAAAATTCATAAAGTAATAACGATAGCTTCAAAATAAGGAAAAGTCAAACCGTCGGTATCTGACTTATCGAAGATGATACTGTCTCCGAAATCGTCGTACCGTTCGTGGGTCATCGACCGTTTCAATTTATGCGTGGTGGTGAACTTCATATGGTTGATCATAGCTTCGTCGCCTCCACCGATGATCATTTGGATAGTGCGAGCTGGAGAGGGAGGCTTAGGAGGTCCCTGGGGTAGTTCGCGTCCACGGGCAAAGTTGACTCGTCCGCGATCACTCATCAGTTCTTTCAAGTTCCCTTGGTTTAACATTCTCACTACCTCTTGTCGCAAACCTATGCAATCCTCGGTTTTGTGACCTCGTTCCTGGTGAAATTCACAAATGGCATTCAACTTCTGAGTATTTGGGCCGGACTTCATCTTTTGTGGACATTTCACCATCGTGCCGAGCTTCTTTAGTGCGTACACTATTTTTGAAGGAGAAACACAAAAATTGTGAGTGGATAAGAGTGGAGGCATACCTCTTTCGTTTCGCTGTGTCCCTATGTACGGCCTGGGCGGCCCTTCCATGTGTCGAGGAGATGGCAGGACGGTTGTTCTGACGTAGTGTTGATGTCTTTCTCGGCTGAGACGGGGGCCCGACTGATCCCTTTGACTATCATTACGATGATCACTTCTCGATTCTTCTTGAACCGATGTCAGCCGTTGGATTGGACCGTTAAGGTCATCATCGTCGGCTCTCTCCTTGGCGCAATAGGCATTGTGGATTTCTTCCTAGGTAGTAGGATGGTATTTCATGAGCCTGATTAATAGTTTTCTGGTTGCTCTCGACCCATTCCTGCTCAGCCCGTTCTGGAAGACCGCTACCGTTATCCGTTCTGATACATTTGGTAGGCTCATTCTTACCCTGTTAAATCGGGCGAGGAAGTCTCTGAGTCCCTCGCCAGACGATTGCCTAACAGCGAATATGTCGTTCACCCTGGCTTCCGCCTTCTTAGCCCCTGCATGGGCAGTGACAGACTTGTCGGCCATTTCCTCGAAAGGCTATTGACAGTGCTGGAAGTTGTGAATACCAAGTTAGGGCTCCTCCTGTTAGGGTTTCACCGAACATTTTTAGTAGCACCGATGGTACTTGCTCTTTCGAAAGATCGCTGCCCTTCACCGCTGTAGCATAATGGACGATAAGATCTTCTGGATCTTTAGTACCATCATATATCTTCAGGTATGGAGGAATTTTGAAGGTTTTAGGAATGGCGTATGGAGCTGCTTCTTTGCTGTATGGTTACTCGATGAATCGACCAACGTCTCGTTTTGGTAGTAACTTTGGGGCACCCGGTATCCTGTCGACCCTCTCTTGGTGTTCTTTCATCTGGTCGCGAAACGCCTTTTTTCGTTTTCCATTTCTTCTGTTTTCTTTGGGACGGTTGCGAGCGCATCGTTACCTGCGTCCATAGTGGGGTAAGTGTTACCTGTCCGAGGAAGAGGCTGCTCGCCAGTAGTTGTTACGATATCTGCTTGTGCGGTGTTGCCATTCTCCTTTTGGGCAGGTTTGTCGAATATATTGTTTATAGTGCTTGTCAGCCACTCTAATAATAGTTTCTTCACTGCTGGTGGTGCTTCCTCAATTGTGGATGTGGATGCTCTCTTTTCGCGTGAAGCCGTCACGCTTTCGTGAGGGGAGGTGATATACTTTGCCTGGGAGTACCGTTTGGTGTCGCATTCTCGTCGTCTTCCCAGCCATCTTCGTTGATGGTGTTCAGAATGTTGGTAGTGATGGCTGCTATCGCTTTCAGTCTCGCATCTCCTTTCCTGCCATCATTAGTTTGTGCAAAACGTGGAAGAAATGTGTTGTTTTCTTTTTTATGATACAGAAATAACTATAGTTTCAACTAAAAACTCCTCACAGACGGCGCCAAATTGTTTGAACAAATAAATGCTAAACCAATTAATAACAAATTAATGGGGTGAATCTTAGTTGAGCTTAATAAATCCTAGACCAAAATAGAACGAGATTCTCGTGTAGTGAGAAGAATTTAGGAGTATTAATCAGTTCGTTCAATATACTAAGATTGGCAGAATAATATCATAAACGTGCAATGAATGCAAGGAACGACAAATGACAATAATGTAAAGGAACTGTCACCCAATGATTGTGTGGTTGGGTGCCTTTTCCTTCTGATGACTTAAAAGGATGTGCAATTGATATGAACATGGGATCTATGAGATTTGTGAATGATGGTTGAATAACATATACTTAAGTAAAGTGAATAAGACAATTCCTTCGTATATATCTCTCTTGACTTTACAATGTGTATCTTAGTTCTCAAAAGGCAGATCCCCCTAATTGTTCATTGTCTCTTCCTATTTATAAGGGACATTCCCCAAAAAACCCTAAAAAGTACAACGCAGAGAATATTAAAAGGAATATTCTTCCTGTCTCTTTCTAAGTTCAAGTTATCGTTATTATATCATCTCAACTGTCTGCTTTTGGTCGTCGGCTTTTATCACAACGACCGTCAGTCACTGTGTCGTGGTCAACCCCGTCCTATGTCTTGCTTATATGTTGCCGTAGTTGTCAAATTTGGACCTATACAGTTAGGTCTTTGTATTCCAGCAGTCTCATTTTGGCAACTAGAACTTCTCGGCTTGGACTTGGTGGCAGGGAATGAAATTCCCCAACATCTTATCAAGACAAAAGAAAATCTCGCGGAGAAAGACATGGGTAGCATTTTTGGCTGCATGATATATAAACAGCATCCACTTGGTTATTAAAGTCCAGAATTTCAGACAAGGCACTCGTTATTGCACTCTTTTTGTTAACCTTATCATTTGACGGACTGATTTCTGCATCACTCAATTCGTTAACAATCGCATCGCCCGCAATCTTGGTGTTTCTTCCATGCTTTCGTACTGCAGCCCAGAAGTAGTCAGTATCTTTTATTGTATGACTAGAGCAATAGCCATAATCCTTCCATTCATGTTTCCACAGTATGTAATTGGGACGACCCCGGATCAGACTATACCAACATTTTTGAAGAGCTGTCCGTAACTGTCCGTCTGTTGTCCACTGTAAGTACATGCATATATGAAGATTTTTGAATTCTATGTATGTTAAAAAATATATATACTAGTACTAATCATCAAAAAAAAGCAACTATATATGCTACTCCCTCCGTTTCAGTTTATGTGAACTTATTTCCTTTTTGGTCCGTTCCAAAAAGAATGACTCCTTTCTAAATTTGGAAACAATTTTGTTTAAACTTACAATTCTACCCTTAATGAGAAACTTTTATAACCACACAAATACTCTGGGTCTTATTTTGACTTGTTTAGGACCACAAATTCCAAAAGTCTTCATTTTTTCTTAAACTTTGTGCCCAGTCAAACAGGTTTACATAAATTGGAACGAAGGGAGTAATAAGTATTTTCAAGAACATATATACTGACCACGCTGGTACCCTCTGGAGGTGGAGCACATTTTAGACTATATCCAGTACTGTTTGCCGGCCAAAGGCCATGCAAGGTGAAACGTTTTGGGTATCCAATCATTCCTCCTACCACAGAATGTGGGTGCCCATTGTAATACGATCTGCATATTATCATAGGTGGTCGATTGAGAAATTACTTGCTAAGGCCTGAGGGACTGTAGTGAAACTAAAAAACAGTGCAATGCAAGCTACTAACAACTTCATTTTAATTTTGCTATATATGTAAAAGGATGAAAACAATCGCTGAACATCAACTCATATTTATATATAGTTGAAATCCTCACTTCTATAATGTTAAAATTTAATGGCATTTAATAGGTTGTTATTAAATTAATTTTTTGGACAGAAGGAACATTTGCCAAAGTATGTTAATGTACGTAGTATTAGAATTCTGTTCATCTACCAACAAAGGTGAAATGGTAAGTACTCCTTCATCCTTAACCAGAGTTTCGAGTTCGAGCCTTATGTATGGAGTCGCTTTTGTTAGAAATCACTGTATCCTTTAATGTGAAACCAAATCCGGATTTAGTCGGCCTCAATAATATGGGTATCCGACAACGGAGAAAACCAAAAATAAAAAGAATTCTATTCACCTACCTGCGAGGCCCGTCTCCTAGTAGTTATTAGAGTTTCGTTATTTTTTTTTCCGTCAAAGGGCTTCTTTTCTCAACTAATAGTATATTTAAAATCAAGAACATGCAACACATCAATTTTTTTTATTTTTTGCATAGCTCTCTTTTCCTTAAAATCTAACATTGTAAGGAATGTCAAACAAAATACTTTATTAATTTTCTCTTTTACAAGTCAAACGAGGCACGTGCAGTACATCAATTTTTCATTCCTCGCATCGCTCTCGCTTCCTTAAAATCTAATCATGTAAGGAATGTCCAATAGAATACTTTCTTAATTTTCTTTTCTATAAGTCAAACCAAGCACGTGTAATACATCAATTTTTGATCCCTTGCATCGCTTTCTTTCCTTCAAATCTAATCTTGTAAGGAATGTCCAACAAAAAACTTTATTAATTAATTTTCTCTTCTACAAGTCAAACAAAGCACGTACAATACATCAATTTTTCGTCCCTTGCATCGCTTTCTTTTCCTTAAAATCTAATATTGTAAGGAATGTCCAACAAAAAACTTTATTAATTTTCTCTTCTACAAGTCAAACCAAGCATGTGTAACACATCAATTTTTCGTCCCTCGCATCGCTCTAGCTTCCTTAAAATCTAACAGTGTAAGGAATGTCCAACAAAAAACTTTATTAATTTTGTTTTCTACAAGTCAAACCAAGCATGTGCAGCACATCAATTTTTCGTCCATTGCATCGCTCTCTTTTCGTTAAAATCTAACCATGTAAGGAATATCCAACAAAAACTTTATTAATTTTCTTTTCTACCAGTCAAACCAAGCATGTGCAACACATCAATTTTTCGTCCATCGCATCGCTCTTGCTTCCTTAAAATCTAACCGTATAAGGAATGTCCAATAAAAACTTTATTAATTTTCTTTTCTACAAGTCAAACCAACCACGTGCAAAACATCAATTTTCGTCCCTTGCATCGCTTTCTTTTCCTTAAAATTAACCTTGTAAGGAATGTCCAACAAATTTTTTATTAATTTTCTCTTCTACATGTCAAACCAATCACGTGCAACACATCAATTTGTCCCTCGCTTCGCTTTCGCTTCCTCAAAATATAACGGTGTAAGGACTGTCCAACAAAAACCTTTATTAATTTTCTCTTCTTCAAGTTAAAGCAAGCACGGCCTAGCTCACACGATCCATGTTGGTTCGGCTGGTCCCATTGCGCTTTGTCTAGTTAACAATTGACATTGTTTGCCCATGCTTGATTGACTCATTATGGTAAAAACTTCATATGACCTGGGAGGCGTTGCTAGCACCCGGTGCCGTACTGGCCCGAGCAAAACACTCTATAACTCATTTTTTCTTCTGCAACTATAATGGGTCAACATGACCACAACTCGTAATGTATAACTATAAGTAGGAAAACGTTGTATTAATGACTCATCGTTCTTAAAACAAAAATACATACGAGCCGTCAAGGCCTCTGACATACTGTACAAAATGAACCTCTGTGTCAACAAAGCTTCTAAGATTATTTGACATCAAATGGGACAGGATATCGGCCTACCCATAAGTCTGTAGCAAAACTCTGACACGATGACTTATAGACTCGGCTGCACTCTGAATGAGGTGGAGTCTTACCGATCCTTCGGTGAATGCCAATCTCGTCTACAATGAGGGCTCGTCAAACTGATTATCTATACTTGCAGGCATGAATGCAACGTCCCCAGGCAAAAGGACGTCAGTGCGAATAATGTACCGAGTATGTAAGGCATTTAAATGAGTTTATAAAAGACATGGAAGAAACATGGAGTAAAGGACTCAACCTGTACATTTGGATTGCTCTGTAAATCATGAAATACTTATATTTTCATGTATATGCGTATGAATGTCATGTCGTTCATAAGTACATGTGTTTATAACATCATCAAGCCTCTGAGGGCATCCCATCATATCATCTCGGCCACTGTGGGCAAAATCATCAACATATACTAGCTAATCAGGTGGTGGTGCGTCTATAACGTCGTAACCTTTTCCCATATCCTATATACATATATATACACATATACGCGTATATAACGTCATCTGGTCATGGGTCAATGTACATGTACGAATGAATGCAGTGCATGAGCAGTATATCAATAAAATCTTTCGGAACATTGTATGACCATTATACCTTTGATTAATGTCATGAAGTAAACTTTATCAACTTACATATTTTCTGAGACTTATGAACAAATGATAGAATAATATGACACATGGGGAATCAAGAACATAGGAACCTCTAGTATTTCTATGAATATGATCTTTTATGGAAGTTGTGCATTTACTCGTTTCGTTTGTATTGTATGGATCATGTCAAAAGAAAAAAAGGATAGCCTTAACATACCTTAATTGCTCATACGAGCTCGTAGAAGGTCGTAGATGAAGAATCAAACTTGAATAAGGAATTATCCTCATAGTGAGAATATTGCTACCAACGCTTCCTTATACCAAAGTACTTATTTTCAAGACCAAAGTATGAATTTTCCCAAATAAAAGAATGAACTCCTAGCTAAAAGTGTTGCTATATTTTGTTGGTACAAAAGAAAAGATCGTGAAATACATGAACTTACTTATCATATATATACAAAATAAGGGATAAGTGAGCTCTCAAATGATGCCACATGATTATGGACCATGGGGTCCACCTAGAAAGCTAAGCCCTAATTCTTTCAAACCTGCCACTTACTGCCCATTAAATGCTTAGTCACTTTGTTACTTCCCTCATAGTGACATGTGGAGATGTTGTCCCCTCACCATCTATAAGAATGCCACCTTCACCTCTAGTAGTGCTTAGTCACTAAATATTGTCTCCCACAACTACACATGGGATCCTCCTCCCTCCACTCTTTCCTTAATTTATGACATATTGTCATCTAATAAAATTAGACACCCATTAACCTCACCTAATTTGTACACGTATCCACCCCTTTTAATCTACATAATCTTTATCTAGTTCTACTACTAACAATATTTATCCACAATTTCTTAATTAGTTATAAAGATGTCACCTCCATAATAACTTGTATTAGTCACTTGTTGCTCGTTACTATATAGCCACGTGGACATCCTTGTCACCTTGTACTTGTCCACAAATCCTTATCCTAAAGTACAACTATAAAAAAAAAAAAAAATCATGGTACCATATCAAAATGTATCTAACCATATCAAAGTTGTTAAACTTATAGGGTCTTACAATAACATTGTCACAAATCCTCTATAACCTCATGAATGACCTTAATCCCTCTTAAGCTTATATGGATTACTAAGACTCATCCTAGTACTAAAGTACCGGAAGTCATACTACTAACATTAAAGACTTTCTTTTCATTCTACACGTGTAATCCTCTAAGTGCACACTTAATGACTCATCATCAAACTTTACACATTTAAACTATGTACTTTAAGTGCTATGACTCATGTGCACATTGGTGCCACCCTTGGCTAACTTCGTGCTATGTGGCAGCCCACAAATTTCCCTAAAATGCCACCTAATCTTACAAACCAAAGAGTTACCCTTTGTCTTGATCAAGACCTATAATTGCAGCCACGTAAATGCTTATCCACCCTACTTATTTGATGACTAAGCCACCAAAACTCCCTAATCTTGCCACCTAGCTCCAAGACTTGCCTAGTTAATATTGAATTCTCTACTTGTTGCCACCTCAATCTTTGTAAAGTTGATTAGTCATGATCCCCCTTATCCTTATGATTCCACGTGGATTCATACAAATGACACTTATCCACTTATAACTAATTTCATATTTCATGACTTTATAATTATCACATATTGAACAAGACAGGATTGGGCATGTTAAACAAAGCAGTAAACAAGAATAAGAATGGAACTCACAATTGATGAACTAGGGCACATAAGGTTTAGGTTTCAAAAATTAATCAGGGGCATACTAGCTAGGAATTAATTTATGATACGCTGTCGACAAGTAATATAGGATAGTAAGTCCGGATATCGTACCCACAGGGACTTGTGATTAACTATCAACTAAATTAAACCTAAACAATTAATCTATTCAAGTGAATCTGAATGTATGAATATTTAACTAAAACTAATCTAGAGTAACAAATTAAGAGATTAAAGAAAACAAGTAGGCGAATTATAAAGACGAATTCAATGTGAGTGAATATTCTAGAGCTATGGGTTAGCTAACAATACCGTTAATTTTTTCACTTAAATCGCCTAATTAATTTATAGTGTTATTGGTTGATAAGGTTAATATTGCTCGTAGCCTTCTCCCGAAGTACAACTCGTCTATTCAAGCTAATCTAACGCCTATATTCCTATGGAATAAGAATTAACAATAACACATTAATAATTCATTTATAGTAACCAAGCAAGGCGATTAGGTATATTCTTATCCTAACCGCAAATCTGTTGCCCCTCAGAGTTAAGATCTTGCTCTACTCAATCTTATATGCAATCTAGAATTCCCGCTCCCGAGTTCAATCGTAGATTTGTAGATAGTATTTAATTGGTGATCAAGCAATCAAATAATTAAGTGCAAGATTGAATAAAACAACCAATATGATAAAATAATAATAACAATTCAAGCTTCAAACTACAACGTTCATGCAGCACCCAAAACTCTAGAACTAATAAATTAT